GACAGGGCATCACAGTATGGTAAGTGGCGTAACATTTCCGTCTCACGCTTGAGGTATTCGGCCAATCATAACGCACTGGATAGCTGGCCAATCAGAGCACACCTCGCTTTTCAGACCGATGAGCTTTGTAAAAATCGATGCGTTTCAGAAAGGCGGGGCATAGAGGAGAAACAATAATGTACAGTATGTGGAAAATAATGTGTTTTTTGAACCTTAAACCGCATAAACACATTGCATTACATCAAATACACAACATAATGTTTTTTTTAGCAACATCATATGACCCCTTTAACACAGAATTCACCTTCATTTTTAGGAGTGGCCCACAAGGCCTGTTGGGAAAACATGCTGTTTACACAGCTGTCCCACACATCCTATAATGATGATGAATATTTCCATCACACTGGAAACTGGTTTTAGTTCTTCCTTCAGTGCTGTTTATGGGCAAATCCAACTTTAGCAATAGATTCTCATACTATCTAACTGTTTGTTTAAACTTTAAAGAGTGATAAATAAGAGACATACACAAACAATGTACATTAATAAATTACATTTAAAATGTGGCAGTTCATTTTCTGTTTCTACAATATTTATTTTCCAAACATAAAAATGCTGTAAGTAACACTGAATGTTACTACTCAGTAAGCAAATGTTCTTCCATGTTAACATGTTCATTCAAAGTTATCCGGTCTTTAATAACCTTCTCAATGTTAACACAAAAACATTATTTATACATCATTCATGGACTGTTTTCTGCAATGTTTTAGTTGATGGACATTCGTCTGTCATTTTTTAAAGGTTACTATTTGTTTCAGAATGCTCTAAGAACATTCAAAAATAACACTCCCATAATGTTTGCAAAATGATTAAATTGAATGTTCCCTTAACATTTGACACTTAACATTTGAACAATTTTAAATTATTTTTAAAAAATTTGATCGTTCAGAGAACATTCAGAAATAACGTTTTCATAACTTACTGGGAACGTTAGCAAAACATTCTTAGAACATATTTTGTTAGCTTTTTAAAGAATGTATAGTTTGTTTGTAATGTTAACTTTTTTTGTTGTTGTTGGAGAAATAGCCTAGAGCAATAGACTTCTTAATTTCCATATATGTATATTTCCATATACAGTAAGGTTACTTTTGCTTTTGGATAGTTGACATTTTAAAATATCTTTCCAATACATTTTGAACTTTCCAAGAGATTTACCGTTATTTAGCCAACCATAGGGAAACAAATATTATGTTATTCCATGGAATATTTATGCTTTAACAATTAATTCATGCAAAGCAAAGGAGGTTAAAAAAAGTGAATAAAAATGATGAAAATCTTTTGTGACCAGCACCTAAAAAAAAAAAATCC